ATTATTCTGCACAGGTTTTCAACAGCCTATGTATAAAAAGTTTTGTCATGGTGGCATGACAGGCTCGGCTGCAAGCTTCAGTTTCTTAGTTCATGAACAAGTATCTTTGATGTAGGTCACAGAAGACTGATGTGTTCAAGGTAACACATATCTAAGTACTGCTGTACTGCTGTTGGCTATTTTATGGAGCAACCATGGCATCAGTTCCAGTACAGGAGGGCCATTTTGCTCTTCCATCTAAACCAATGCAACCAACCAACCAATGCAATTGAAGATAGAAAGGGTCAGACACTATAGCGTTGTTAGCAACCCAAAGCATTATGGTATGTAACACAGAATCATAGAATTATTAAGGTTGGAAAAGACCTTCAAGATCATCTGGTCCAAGAGCTGCCCAGCCACCAATATCACCCACTAAACCATGCCTCTAAGCACCACGTCCAACCTTTCCTTAAACACCCCCAGGGATGGGGACTCCACCACCTCCCTGGGCAACACTTTCCAAGGCCTAACCACTTTCTGAGAAGAAATGTCTCCTCACTTCCAACCTGAACCTCCCCGGCACAACTTGAAGCCATTCCCTCTAGTGCTTTCACTAGTTACCTATGAGGAGAGGCTGACCCCCAGCTCCCCACAGCTTCCTTTCAGGTAGTTGTAGAGAGCAGTAAGTTCTCTCCTGAGCCTCCGCTTCCCCAGACTGAACAATCCCAGTTCCCTCAGAGAATACAGTCTCCTTGCCCTTGACAGTATGCATATTGAACCACTGAATCGCAGGGTATCTTCTTACTGGTAGGAGAAGAAAGGAACTCCTTTTATGAGTATAAAAAATATTTCCTTTTCTTTTTTTTAAGGATAATTTTTAATTAAATTAAAATGCTTCCAATTTATGTAATTACCCTAAAATACCAACAAGTAGTGGTAGTATTTGATTTGGATGAATACCTTCATAAGGACATATATAATTCATGCTATAGCTGAAAAAATAACTCCACTATAAAATATATATATTCAATGTACATATATAATTCAGTTTTCCAAGTGTAAATATTGCAACAAGACATTTTAACACTGATTGCTGCTCTAATAATGTACCAAACACCAGCTTGGAAATCAAACATTTACAAGCATACAATTAAAATGAAAGTCCCACTCCCAAAATAAAAAATGTGTGATAAATAAATGAATTTATAAAGTATTCCTGCTGCCTTTGTCCAGTTCTTTTTTCCCCATATGGTATATTATTTGTCATATGGAAGCTGCAAAAATACCCTTTTACAGAATAAATTAGAAAAATGAAGCATAAACAATAAAGCCTGCTCAGCAGTCATGTTTTCCAGAGCTCTGTAGGGTAGCTGCAGGAATTTTCCATGCTGTGAGTGTTAATGAGACCCTCCATAGGCACCATTAATACATAAAAGCAATCACCTATAACTCACCTTTTCAAATCTGTACTTCTTGATTTTAGTAACTGGAGGCAAAATAGAAAACAACATGCAAATACTATCCTCATTTACTGATATGCAGCCATTAGCAAAATGGGGTTGACAACAAATAAGTTAGTGTAGTACATAAATGCTTCGAGAATCAAGCGGATTCCAGAAGCACTTGGAGAATATGCAGGATTTTGAAGCCTACAAAACTGTCTCTAAGCATATGGTTTTCCGGATGGAAAAAAACATACTTATAGAAATTACTAATTAGCTAAAAGTGGCTCGATTGAGGATGCTTACATACTTGTAATGGAATGGCTAGCTGACCAAACTCAGTAATGACAGTATTTTGGCATGAAGAAATTTTATAGTTTATCTCCAAGTCATGGTTAATCTTTTATAATATTTAGTTAAACGAAAGGAAAAAAAAAATCCACAGGGATGCTGTGGAAGTACTGGATAACAGTTGCCAACATGAGGCCATTGTCACGAACCAGCAGCTCCCACAAGCAAGTTTCCAAATCAGGCACTGGACTTCAGCCAAAGAGAGCTCCAGCAGCTTGTGGAGGACCTCAGGCTCCTGTTAGCAGGTACACCACTTCTGAGCTGCCAACCTCTGGGCACATGCATGTCTGGGGTCTGTCAGTCCCTTACATTTAACAAATTCTCAAATCAGTTCATTCTACCTAAAACGAGGAGCTTAGGATATTACTTGCTATAGTTAGTGTCAAAAATGTGAAACTATAACATGCTTGAGAACTATCCTTCACTCTGGTCTGGGTTCAAAGTGATTCTTTTGTTCTAGTTACTGGCAAGTTTCTATACAATTTGGACATATACCTAGAAACAAGACAGGTTTTTTTTTGTTTTTTGTTTGTTTTTTTTTTAAATGAGACCCACCCCTTCCACAAAATGGACTCTGACTTTCAAAGTGGTGAAAGGTTGGCTCAGGTCTCCCTTTCTCAGCTGCATTTCTGTCTCTGCTGATGTAAATTAACCCTTGGGTTTTCCACAGTTCTCATTACCAACAGCTGGTTCAGGTAGGACATCCAGTACCAATCTAGTGCTTTTTGGTAAAGTGATATATACTGTCTTGTAAAACTATTTTTTTCAACAGCATGATTTGCTGCATAAGCCCAAGCACACAACCTGGGCTGCAGTTCTAAGCTGAACTTGAAAAAACATATCAAAGCTATCCCTCAAAGGCAGTTTTGCTGGATGTTAGGTCTGCCCCTTGCCTTTACTTTTGCTAGGTGATACCCATCAGGCCCTTCACTGAGTAATTTCAGCATGCTAAATTGGCAAAAGGATTTTTTTTAGGTGGCCAGGTTAGCTTACTGATGCCTGGTATGCTCCAACAGCTCAGTCAGCATCTTACGAGACCTGAAGCCCTTCTTTTTTTTTTCTTTTTTTTTAAAAAAAAAAAAAAAGGACAAGTGGACTTGGTAAGTGGCAGAGTGAAGGAAGACAGCATCAGGGAGTTAAACAGGCTTGGTTGCTAGCACACTTGTTTAGACAATAAAATGCATGTCCTGAGTGTATTTCACTTTCAGAGACATGAAAAATCGGTGTGGCTGTACATGAAGTTTTCATCCTTAAATAAAATGTGACTTCAGAAATACTCATTGTACAAACACACAACTAGGAAAATAAGAAATGCATCTCACTAATAGCTCCTCAAAGAACCAGAACATGATGATGGACAAACCTGAGAATGATAATTTATTAGAGATAAATGATCTATAAATGTGACTTGCTAGAACAGGGAGTACCATAAGAATAGCCATTTTCATCTAGGAATAAAATTTCTTTTGCTTCTAATTTTAGACTGGACTATCACCAGCAAGCAGTCACATACCGCTATTTGGTAGCTGAGTTAGTGGTTCACACAACTGAAATATCATTTTCTCTCATCTGGATTCCATCAAATAACTCAGGAAAAAAGTAAATTCCATCACTGTTCATGTTCCCAGACAGCACCGGCTGAACTGCAGTTTTCAAAGGCAGAAAGCTTTCTACACTATCCCAGTGGCATGCTAAACCACTATGTCAATTACTATTGTAATCTACATCATCTACTACAACATCTCTCTCTCTTTCTTTCTTTTATTTATTTATTTTTATTCCTTTCTCTCTATTTTTAATGAAAAAGTGAAATACTGCCATTGCCTGCCAGACAGGAAATTATCTCAACATTAGGGACAAGCAAAATTGCACTAACACTCACTAAAAAGAGCATAGCTATTTTATGATTTTTTTCTTATTGCTTATAGACATTTGCTGTATAGACATTAGACTGAACCACTAAATAAGCAAAGTTCAAAATGATCCAGAGCACAGAAAAGTCAAGGCAAAACGCTTTAACGTATTTAAAATTAAATGTCTGCCACAAACTCCCATTTCAAAACAACTTTGAATTACTGTCAACATCAGTTGTACAACTGTTATTGCAATGAGAAGCTCATTGCCGCAGCATGCTTTAACATCCAGAAGTCTGAAGAGTTACAAAAGGGGTCACCGGGATTAATGGAGGGTGGATATTAAATTAGATCGAGGTATTAAACAATACAAATGCAGCCTGTGGCTCAGTCACTGGGATCTTGTCTCTTGGAAGCCCAGTGCGCCAGGAGAAGAAACACATGCTTCTCCCTCCATATGTTATAGCTTGGGCTGACTATGAGAGTTTGTTCTGTTTTTAAATACTGTTTATGTCATCATTCTGTCAAGAAAACTCCTTATTTCTTAAAACCCACTTACCCCAGGGAAAAAATAAAAGAGACACTGACAAAAATAAACATGTGAAGTTCATAAAGTGCCACATTCAGGATATTTTCCTTTTTACTTATGTTGGGTTTTCATTGATTGTTGTGATACGGCACAAATAAATGGATGTCCTGCGAGTAGTAGACTTTTTTTTTTCCCTGTAACAGACCCAGCAAATAACGTTCCACATATTGTGACACCAAATGTGCTGGTGCTCTTCAACTGTTCTAACACTGTTTCAAAGAATTAGACATCAAAGGTTGTTTTTCTCAAACCAAATTTTGCACAGATATAAACTGCTATGGTAGATTAACCTCAACATGCCAAGCTATATACATGAATCATTAGATTTTATTTAATGGCCGTTTCTAAACATCAGCTTTCAGCAAGGACTATGCTCTTTTCCTCTAATCACCCACTGAATTTATTTGAACTCATTTTCTGGTAATTTGTCAAAATAAAGAATGACACCAGAATTTAGCAACTTTATGCTAAATTACACACCTGTTTCATACCTAAGAATGCACACCTGTTCAATACCTAAGAATGCTGACCATGGGACTATATTACTTATGTTCCAAGAAAGCATTTTAGGATGAACATCTCAGGACTTTGAGCCTAAAATTGCCACTGATAGCAATATATGTTTACTCTCCTTCCATTCACAGCCACATAATATAAATTTTAAAGATCAGAAAGTTTATCAGAAAGAAATTTTAAAGATCTTCACTTAAATTACAGCTTCTGTGATGGACATGACCTGCTTCATTATGTGTTCTTAATTGCCTATTTTGTCTCTTCAAGCAGAGCGAGTCAGGTAAAACCATATGGAACGAAGAGGAGATTGTGCCTTCATAGTGACCAACCAAGCTCCAAAGAAAAGAAGTCCCCAAATGGAGCAAGGGATGGCGAGCAGTGCCAAGGGGGGCAGAGCTTATCCAACCTGGAGGAGACAGAAAGAAAATTAAGGATCAGAGTTTTCTAGTTCTCTGTATCCCAGAAAACCATGTGGTGGTTAAAACCAAGCATGGGATGAAGAATGTGCTAGCAAGGACTCATTGTGCACGAACAGAGCAATGTAAACCTTGTTTATTCTGTTCTGCCCAACCTAGCCACATGTGGTGTTGCTATTATTTTTTATTTGTTTGTTTTTCTATCTTAAAAATAATTATCTTGTATAAACTGTTTTTCTGAGTTTAAAAACCTTATGGTCTTTTACAGGAGCTCCCCATACAGAGAAGTTCAAATGAGATTCTCTTCAAAGCTCTGGCCTTCTCCGGGAACCATGACAGCTTGCTACAAGTCCAAAAGGAAAGCTTATTTCATTAACATTTCAATATTAAACTTTTATAAATTTTGTAGATTTACAATTTATAGAAATACAATTTATGGAGATGTGCTTTATATAAAGATTTATAACATCTATGAAGAGAACTTTATAGATCTATAAAATTTACAGGCATATCTTTTAATGTTAAATCAGGAAAGACTCCATTTATTTACCCAAAACCTAACGCTTATGTCAGCTGCACTTAGCAGGGAGAATGATTTTCAGCTAATATTAAAGTTTTTTGCCCAGTTGGAATTATGTCTATATCTGACTTAAAGCATCAATCCTGAATCACAAAAAGAAGACAGTCATCCAAGTTCCTATTATATTCAAATGAGATATTACATAAAAGTTATCATTATGGTAAGTTATAAGGTCATGATTACTCCCTCTAGACAAGATATCACGGAGATGGAGAAGAACCAACATGAATGTCACCAGAAAGTTAAACATAGGGGCAACAATATTCTGCACGTACCACTCAAATATACACATCAAACATAGCTTCTAAAAATGACAAATATAAGAGGGAGTGAATAAATCTGTTGTTCATTGAGTAACTGGAACAAAGTGTGAGTGCAGGTCAACTTTCTAGCTCTAGAGGAAGAGTTTAGATATTCAAGGAATCTTCAAAGTGAATCTGAATCTACAAGGGCATAATGTGGGAAAATAGGTTAAGAACAGGCAGTGTTACTATTTTTAGGCACAAAGGAAATCTAAGAATATGCGTACATGTGAATCCCAACAGAGAGAGAGAGCAATGTCAAAAAAATAAAATAAAGAGACCGAACAAGCAGATAGAATTTGCCAATATGTGAAGGACTCTGAAAACTACAATGACAGAAAAGGTCTCTAAAAATACTCTTGTAAAAGAAAATAAATATCCTGAAACTTAAAAGGATGACATAACCTATTTTTTTCTGTAATTTATATATAACTAAAATGGGAATAATTTACCTATTGCACTGCAGTATTCACGTGTTCACAAAGTGCGCTAAAGTCAGAAACAGCTGCTTAGACACTCAAGCTGTTATTAAAATGCTTCTAATAGACTGAAATAACAGCATAGTTTTGAAGGAACTGAAGCCAGATGATCAGAACTAGTTTTGGGGCCAGTCTCAGAGCCCACTCATATATTTCTTTATTTTTGGTACCAGAAAAGGATAAGTAAAGGATAAGTAAAGAACAGGATAAGTAAATTGTACATAAGTACAATTGTACGTAAGTACAATTTACTTATCCTGTTCTTTTTCCATCCCCGTGTTTGTTTCCTTGTATTTCTCTAATAGTTCTCTAATTCTGCTGATTTGGGGCACTGCTTTAACAGAGTAAGTTACAGATACCTGCATAATTCTCCTGTATATCAGTCTCCTCTGCACTTTGTTACAAAAAGAAATCTCTGAAATCAGTCTCATTGTAATTGAGTTTAAGAAAGTGAGGACAGTCCACATAAACTAGCCTCCTATCTGACAATGACCGAAAAAGGATGTTTAGGGAAAAGTGTAAGAATAGGACAGGCGTGTATTCAAACTACCCTAGAAAAAAATTGAGCAGTGTTCAGTGTAGAGAATCCCGAGCCATCCAGGCTATCTTTACAGCTTAGATTTTTCTTTGTGAAGTAAGAAGCAAACCAACACTGATGGGATTGCATTGCCTATCTCCACAGATCCACCTCTTTGAAAATTTTATTTTAATTTGTTGAGTGATTTGCACCCAATTTAGCTCAGAATTACAAAGCTCAATGTGTTAAGCTCCAGTGTTAAGTTTTTTGCAAATTTAATGAAAATCAGCAGCTGAGGAAGGAGACACTTAAATTAATGACCCTCGTGGAAAAAGGCTATAAGAGTGAACAAAACGTTATCTGTTCCATATGCTCTGCACCATGGCCAGCCTAGCCCTGACATATTTCCACCCCTTCCACAGCCCTCGGTGGGAATTCACAATGCAATAGTGGGTACTATACAATGCGTTGGATGGAAACTAGACAAAGCAATGGCAACCTGGGGAAGGGATGGAGTTAGTGCTCTGGGAGACAGTAAAGGAAACAACGGAGTGCACCACAGTGGGATGGATAATGTCAGGGAATGAGATGGAATTTAGAGAGAGATCTGTGCAGGAAATCTGGCCTCCTTAGCTCTTTGTAACAGCTCAGTGCAATAAACACAAAGTGAGCCTCTTTCAAGAGTAAAAAGAGTAGAAGAAAATAGTGTTGAAAGGAGATGGGAAGGAAAGCAAAATAAAAGGTAGTTGTGGCGTAATGGAGAAGGTAAGCAGTCTGTACAGTAAGACAGTTCCAGAGACACATTTCTGTACTATCTGAGGAGAAAGAAAAAAAAAAAAAAAAGCCTGCAAATTTAAGTGGATGGAAAAGTGCTTAAAAGACAAACTCCTCCTGATAGAATTTTCTCAGCTGCAAAGCTTTTGCACTACTTTGTGACAATTTTGGGGATAGCAGAAACTAAAATACCAACTAAAATAACAACCCTCCCTCACATTTTCTTGCTCAGTAGCTGTCAGTACAAATGGCTTCAGCAGTGTGAAACATAACTACATATCCATCTATCAGCTGATGATATAAGCTAAAATATCTCTCAGGATCAACTTCCAAATTACTATCTTCTACAGTGTCCTGGTTTCAGATAAGATAGAGTTAATTTTCCTCCTAGTAACTGGTATGGTGCTGTTTGGGATTTCAGATGAGAATAATGCTGATGACACACCGATGTTTTAGTAGTTGCAGCACAGTGCTTACACTCAGCCAAGGACTTTCCAGTTTCTTGCTCTGCCCTGCCAGCAAGGAGGCTGGGGTGCAGCAGGAGCTGGGAGGGGACAGACCCAGGACAGCTGACCCAAACTGGCCAAAGGGGTATCCCATACCATTATGGAATCATGCTGAGCAATTAATATGGGGTGTTAGCCAGGAGGAGGGATGGGGGACAGGTGGGAGATGGACAGACACCGCAGCTCAGGAAGGGGCTGTGCATCAAGAGCCCCATTCTTTCTTTTCTGTCCCATTAAACTGTCCTTACCTCAACCCATGAGTTTTTATTTTTTTTTCTCTCTCATTTCTCTCCCCCATCCCATGGCACAGGTTGGGGGAGCAAACAGCTGTGTAGTGCTTAGCTTCCTGCTGGGTTAAACCACAACATACACTAATAGAAATTATTAGAAAAATGATTTTGTACTGAAAAGACAACTTTAACATTTCCAGAAATTGCTTTCATTCAAACAGGGACAATTAGAAATTCTCACAGAGAAACAATTACAAAAATATTCCAGTTAGAAATATGAAAACTTAATAATTTTGAATTATTCTGGTATTAAAAACAATAAATAAAATTAGCCTAGAATAAGATAGGGACACATGTTGATTCATCTGCAAGGCCCTCTGTAACAGCAAGATGGGTCTACTTTGGCTAACATTTTCCTGTACCTTCTCATATATGTCAGATAAACAAGTAACCGCAGCCTGGTTTGTTGAGGAATATAAAAAACATAAAAATGGATGAGATGAGAAGAAGGACCAGTTAAAAAAATGCATTAAATGTACATGACAAATTTTTCCATAACTAGTGAAGACTTAAATTGTGGCACAAAAGTAGCAAACTAGAGGAGAGGGGCTATAATAATCAACTAGAACTCGGATTTTGTAATGGACTGCAAAACAATTCAATGTAAACTAACTAAAAGTCCAGGCTTCCAAGCTCTGTGTAATTGCTGCACATTTGTGGCACTCTGTATTTGTTGGAATTTGTTCCTGTATTGGAGAAGTGCTTAAAGCTTTAGTCATAAATATCAAAAACAAAGACTAAGGTCCTGATGCACCAAAGCTGGTGATGCAGTTCTACTCATTGGAAAAAACAACCCTTTCTGCTTTTCATGCTAACGTGTTAAACAAGCAAGTCAAAAATAATTTTGAAAATCTTCCTAAACAATATTTTTCTTTAGTTCCTTTATATATACCAAAATATTTTAAAATGTACACCTTGCAATGACATTATTTGAATGCCTTAAAGACATCCGATTACTTAAGCAGTAGGTGTCCGATCACTGACATGGATAAGGACTTTTTTGTTTATTACTCCCACTTTTACTCAGCTTTCACCCAATTTAGCATTTTTGTTCTTAATTTTCTATGCTTTTTTCTCTCTTAATAGCCATGAAAGTTTGTTCTCTGGTCTTCATTCTTATTCCTTTCCTACCAGATTGGGACTATTTGTACAGTCCCAACTGTACAGTTCATACATTCATTTTCTGTTCCATCTGAACTATTCTTCTCCCCATCAATGTGTTCTGTGTTCTTTCTTTCCTTGCCTGTCACTTTGTTATAGCTCAGACAACATATTCAAAGGGTTAAAATATTCAAGGGATTAGTTCAGCTAGCTTAAGGACTAGAGACGCCACTGCTGTACTTTCCAATCATTGTGATGATATAATAATATTCGTTAAACATGGACACAAATACTAGTGTGGATCGGATACATACAGTATGTTTTCACATTTGTAAACATCTTCAGCTTTTTTAATTTGACCTAATATTTATCTGTTGTATAGATATAAAAATGTTTTCAGTAAAAGTATGCTTGGAAACTACAATTTTTATTAATATTAAAATCCCTTAAAGAAATATATTTAGTTTAAATTTCAACTAGCCTTTGTGATAATTTTTGAAAGTTATAAACAAGAAAATATCTATCATGGATTACTAAGCAACAAGGATATCAAATATGAGTTGCATTACATGTGACTCCAAGACTTAGTGCTAATGTCTAGTACTACTTCCAAAAAGCTAGTGCTGTATCATTCATTAATCATGAAACAAAATAATTTTTTGCTAATATAAACAAAGGCAGAATGGTCAGTATAAAAAGAGGCAGAACGATGTTATGAAAAGAAGGTGCTCATGTTAAACTGGGAGTTGCAATCTTACAACATAAGAATTCGTCCCTTAGGATTCACATTAAAACTACCAATCTAATTTCAGGAGACCTCACCTTCAATGTAAACCTCATTGCAAGACATAAAATGTCACTGGTTTATCCTCTAAGTAATCCAGACCCATCAGGAAACTGGATAGTAGTTTTAATAAAATAGGACTCATAAGTTTTTATTACTTTTATAATGAATGCTCTTTGGTTTTATTGGCTCTTAGAAGGAGTAATTTAGCGTCTCTATTTAAACATGACTTTTTATCCTTCACAACTTGCAGGTTTCAATTTTATGTTTCTAACACTATAAATAAAAATGCAGATACTGAGGTTTTAATAAAGATAAGAAGTTCTTCTCAGTGCAATATAAGGCTTTGAAAATCAAAGGAAAAGAAAAAAAAAGATTTAATCTTTTTCTAGTCTGATACATATAGCACCATTTTTGAGAATATAAGCAGTACAAAGTGGTTATCAGTAGGTCACACAATTAGGTAATATATGCTGCTATGCATCAATTTTTTTCTTCTCTTCATATTTTCATGGAAAAAAAAATCTAATATATTTTCAACATATTAATATCATGCCTGAGAGTAAAATTCCTTTAAACACACAAACCATACCTGTTTGTTTAAACTACATAATTGAGTTTGGATATCTCTGAATTATTAATCAGTGCTGAACTATTCAATGTATAAAAACATGTGACATATGCATATCTTTATACCGATACATCTGCAGTTCTAGTTATAGAAACAGCTAATTTCTTAACAAAATTTTCATTGCTGTTAATGCATAGTCTGCACTATTACAGCTATTGTCAGTGTTCTTTTGACAAATACACGGTCTACTTAACATTATATCTACAGACCCTATTAGTCTAAACAGTAACTTTGTAAATTACTGATTTTATTTGTTACAGAGGAAATTGGAAGAGAACAATGTGTTTTTGTAGTCTGTTTTTAAAATAGTGAAGAAACTTTAATCAGCAGTGGAATTCAGCATCACCAGACACATCCTAGCAAACAACGGACTGGAGTACACTCACTATCTGAAATTCTACTCATTAATTTACAGAAGGCAAAGCTGTTAGGTGTGTCTTCTGGTGTAACAACCAGGAAATTTTACTTTTTCCCCTCACTCTTTCCTGTATAACTGAATGGAATGATGTCAGTAAAGTGTTCACACTGAGCTGAATAAATGTTTACAAATGGCTTAATGTCTAGTTGTAAAAAGTAAATAAA